GTGGATAGAGGACATGGTAACAGTATAGAGTAGTGATAGTAACCAGATAGAGAGTAGTAGATAACCACAGGAAGATATTGATGTGATTTCTAATCCTTCCATGTGCTGCTAGAAAAAATACCAGTCCAGTTCCGTATTGTGTCGAATGTGATGAAAATTCGAGAAAAAAATAAAAATTGTCCTTCACAAAATATTGTCCCTTTTCAGCACCTCAAACCCATCATCCAACATAATGCCAAAAAATTCCAAAAAGCAACTATGACCAGCACTGATTGCCCCCTTCATTCCATCTGCACTGAATCCAGAAAAATCCTCCAAATTGTGAGTCTTTCCTGGCCAAAAAAAATCCAACGCGATATAATAGAAAATGGCATGTGCAGTGAGACATATAGGGAGGCACCGTCAGGGTTTTCTGATGCGAATTTTAATTTTAATTTTTTCTGCTGCTAGATCTACAGAACATAGGCCTAGGTAGATTGTAGCCCACAATCCTAAGGGGATAATAATCCAGGTTTGTCTTTTAACTTAAGACAATAAACTGAAGCCAAATTACCATATAAACCTTGAATAGAAAAGTTAAAAAAAAGGGCTTTTAAAAGTGAGGGATTAGTGTGTTAAGTCTCCTGCTTTCTCTCTCTTAGATGATTCCAGGTACTAGCGCAAGTAGAGCTTGCTTCAACCGAGCATCTTGCTAGATCTACATTACTCAGTTACCCAAGCTGGCAATGCAATCTGCAAGAAGACTTTCAACACCAACTCCTCCTTAACCTAATTTTTCAATCTATTTCTACTGGTAAGCGGAAAATTTGTAAATGAGTTCCTTAATTAAAGAAAAATTACGCGTCAAATATTATAAGCATGGTTGGTCCAGTGGTAGAATTGCCGCCTGCCACGCGGCAGACCCGGGTTCGATTCCCGGACCATGCACTCATAACCTTTTTTGGTTTTTATCCATGAGAATTTTTTTTATTGGATGTTTGTGCATATCCACAGCTAGTTTCCGTCGGTTGTCTCGGTTATGTGTCAGACAACTTGACCACTGGGCTAAAAAGGTGTTGGAATAATTTAGAATTAGAATTTATTGTGAAGCAATTAGATTTAGAT